CATACGAATCCACGTTGTTCCCCATGGCGGTGAAGGTGGCCCGGTTGTCAGAGTTATTTCCCCCGAAACAGTAGCATGGGACGGTTCACTATTGAATTCATGGAACATCCATGGAAAAAGCACTGCGGGAGAAGGTGTCGGAAGCTTTGTCCCTTATCTGACGGGCCGACGGGAAGCGTGTATGCGACACGCGTTTATCTCATGTCCGTCATCTCACGGTCCCTTCATCCTGCTTCACCCCCAGGTCTTTAAGAAAGACTCATGCCAGGCTACATCCGGTTTTACTTGGGATTCCTCTGCTCTGGAAACATTCCTCCGCTATCGCCACCAATGACTTCCATGACCACCACGGGAAAGCTCACTGTTGTGGTCTGCATCGGAGACCATCAGGACCCTGTCGCTCTTAATGCTCGGGGCCCGCTGACAGTGTCATTGATCGAATACCCCGACTCGACCTCCAATATGGCCTCCGACATCCCTCCAGCTATGGACATCATCCAATATGGCTGGAACAACGATCTAGGCGACAACTCTGTGTTATTGGTGCAAATGGAGATCCCGGGACCGTCTACAAGCACGGTGAAATTCTTCCTGCAATACCAAGCTGTAGAGGAAGTTTCTGAGTTTCGTGCTCAGATAACGAGACCCTACCATTTTGTGAGTGAATCCTATCTCAAAGTAATAGTAGCTTTACTGAACAAGTGCTGCGTCTACAGATCTATGTCGATAACTCAGATGACCTGAACTCATTAAAGTCTGCAGAGAGGGTAGACCCTCTGACCGTTGGGAAATGGCTTCATGTGGCTTCCTGCAGGCACTCTGGAGGGCGTCACGCAAGGCGTTCGTGGGGTGTCTTCCTCCCTTATCACTCCCCCTTTGTCGCCAACGTCGGGGAGTCCTTCCCTGTCTCAGAGCTCCTCTTTATCATTCGCTACCTGTCAGGCAATCCTAACCTCTCCCAAGGGGAGGTCCATTCCCTTCACAAAGGGACAGGAAGTTCGTCTGTCCTCTCACGTGTCTCGATTATTGGCAACCCCCTCGAACTGTTTGTGGTGGGACATTCTCATCACAACCTGGACCGTCTGAATGATGGCCCGCCTCTCCAGGTAGCATCTTCTGCTCATGTCAGGTAACAAGCTAACATGAATCACACAGGACACGAAATCAGCACCAACCACCTGAAGACAACGTTACCAAAGACGATTTAGAGGTGAATATTACTTGCCTGTGATCGATACCCTCTTAATACGCCACAGAAAATTGTCACAGTCCTGCTTGATTCCAACCAGAATACCCCATGGAGGGCGTTTCTGACCAATTGCTTGGGGATGCCAAAAAGGGCCCGGCCCAAAGGTTTTAAAAATGCCATGAGTCACCATGCCGCCCTTTTGGCCGCTTGGTTATTGATTAATCCCGTGAGTCGTCCCTCACCTTGCTGCTGGATGTTACTGATACCATTGAAGACCAACACCTTCCAAGGGCTGTTGCATGCAACCGAACGTTCCTTCCAAGCTGTCGTCAACAACGGCGATTGGGCCGTGTACAAGCAACGCGCATGGTTGTTCACTGCCTATCAGGTGGCTGGTGGCATTTCCGATGGAGGCATGCTGGCATCATCGACATCCAGTAACCTGGCCACCACCTTTCAACAGACCACTGAAAAATTCGAAAAGATCCAGGACAAGACGTTGGGGTATGCCTTTGCAGTCCCTTTGATTGACCCTGGGCTCACAAGTAACATCAGAGACCTGCCCCCCGCATTTCAAGCCAACATCAGGTCTTATATCACTCGTCCCTTGCTATCCACTCTCTTCAACTGACTTGTGATAAGGTTACATATGCTTTCAAGATGGACGGATTATGTACGCTGTAGTAACGAATGACTATATCTATTTGCCTGTCCGCTCTCTACGATTTGCGAGTCTCCGAACGCACCAAGTTCAAATTGTAATGGATAAGCAAGTTCAACATATTGTGGCCCTGCCTGCAAACCTGCAGGCCCGCCTCCACGACGAGGACTGGAGCCGCGCGCTCGGGGCTACGCTCGCCGGCCAGTTGCGGAATGGTGAGCCTGTGCGCGCAGAGATGGGTCCTCAGGGCGGCGTGGCTGGTCGCGTGCCGATGGGTAGCTGTGGAGAGCCCGATCGGGTAGGCCCGCCACCAATACGCTGGCCTTGCGCTGCAGATAGGGAGGGACCGCAGATGCGGGCGGATGAGGCGCGATCGACTGTGCGGTAGGTGCGGGGGCAGCAGGAGGGAGGGGGATGCGACGCAAGAGGGTGGAGGTGATGAGGCGGCCTGGCTCGCCAAAGGCCGAGCACCAGGAAATGTCCAGACGACCGAGGGGCAGGATGCTCCCAGGGGCGTGCGTCACGGACAAGTCGGGGACTCGGACACAACGGGCGTGGCGCTACTCCAGTCGTGCTGCCATCCGTCG